ACAACGGCGCTGGAAAAAAAGACGTGACCGTTTTTCACACCGTGGCAGCCTCCCCGCGGTCGCGCGACCCAAATTCGGACGCTTGGCAGCTGACCCGTATTTACGACGGTCGCAGCGTCCCGGGGTCACGTGATCCCCTTCTGTGACCTTCTGACCAGCCGGATTCACTTAACAACCGGGTTACTCGTTTAACGACTGCGTGTTTCGCTTAACGACGTCGGCAGGAAAGGTCGTACAGCGGGGCAAAACTCACTTAACCCCTGTCTCACTTAGCGACAGAAATTGTGGTCGTAAGTCGAGAACTATCTGTGTAAGCCCTTCAGACAACACTCTCTGCTGCGGTTAAGGAGGGGACGGAAATGGACAGCCATTTGTCCGAAATGGTATAGGGTTTCCTGCCTGAGCAGGGGGTTGGACTAGATGACCTCCAAGGTCCCTTCCAACTTCATTATCATTATCATTATTATTATTATTATTATTATTATTACTATCATCATCATCATCATCATCATCATCATCATCATCATCATCATCATCATTATTATTATTATTATTATTATTATTATTATTATTATTATTAAATGCAATTATTTAAAGATACGAGTGGGACCTTCTCTGGAGTTTTTATTAAGGATTAGCAGCCCAGAAACATTAAAGGGAGAAAATGGGCTGCTAAAACCTCATTTCCCATTTAACTTTCCTTTATTTATGCATCTGTTTAATTATTCATCGGTCGTATATCCCACTGAATCTCAGATATTATTCAAACCTCATAAAGTGCAATTAAAATGGCCCCAGGAAACTGATAATGGCTGAATAAGTGAATTCATATTGCCAGGTAATCCTTGATTGACGACCGGTTGTTTCAGGACAATTCAAAGTTGCATCAGGATGTGTGTTGTTGCGCCAGGGGTGTCCAAGCTTGGAGACTTTAAGACCCGTGGACTTCAATTCCCAGAATTCCCACAGGGCCACTTGGAGGTTTGTCTGTGTCCTCAGGGTCGTCTGACTGGTGCAAATGGGTGTGGGGGCTTCTTGGAACTGCTGAAAGGATTGTGTTCCACACCCATTTGCACCGCTCAGGGGACCCTGAGGACACAGCTCAGCCTCCAAGTGGCCTGTGGGAATTCTGGGAGTTGAAGTCCACCAGTCATAAAAGAGCCAAGGTGGCCTACCCCTGCCATAAGGGGTGAGAAGTAGTGGGCTTCCAAATATAAAGATCTCATGAATTCCTTGTCCTTATGGAAGTCCACCACATCTAGACTGCCTTGGCTCAATGTCTTTGGAGGTGCACCGTCCTCCAGGTCATCGTTAGCCCAAAGGTGATTTTTCAGGAGGCCACTGGACTGTCTGGTTTTTTCTTTTGAAGACATTTCGCTTCTCATCCCAGAAGCTTCTTCGGCTCTAACTAGATCATGGGGAATGGGAGGATTTATACTCCTTGCAGACAGCTGATCATTTTCATCCTTTTAGAGAGTCATTGAGGCCACTTGGAGGTTGACCTGTGTACTCGGGGTCCCCTGAGTGGTGCAAATGGGTGTGGAGCCTTCTTGGAACTCTGCAACTTAACACACCCATTTGCACCGCTCAGGTGACCCTGAGGACGCAGACCAACCTCCAAGTGGCCTCAACGACCCTCTAAAAGGATGCAAATGACCGGCTGTCTGCAAGGAGTACAAATCCTTCCCTTCCCCACCATTCGGTCAGAACCGAAGAAGCTTCTGGGATGAGAAGCGAAACGTCTTCAAAGAAAAACAAGAAAGTCCAGCTGCCTCCTGAAAAAAGCACCTTTGGGACACCCCTGACCTGGATGATAGAGAACCTCCGCAGACATTTCTGACAAGGAAGGTCATAAAACGGGACAACATTCACTTCACAAATGTCTCAGTGACCGAAATTCTGGGCTCCCTTGCGGTCATACGTTGAGGAATACCTGTGTGTCTGAATTGAAGGAGGAGAGAAGCCCTGGGGAGAGGTTTACCATCTCCAACAAATGCTCCAACGCTGGAAGTTTTTAAGAAGAGACTGGACAGCCCTTTGTCTGAAATGGTATAGGGTTCCCTGCCTGAGCAGGGGGTTAGACTAGATGACCTCCAAGGTCCCTTCCGACTTTATTATTATTATTATTAACAACCTGCCTCCAGACGTTGTGAATGCTCCAACACCGGAAGTTTTTAAGAAGAGACTGGACAGCCCTTTGTCTGAAATGGTATAGGGTTTCCTGCCTGGACAGGGGGTTGGACTAGATGACCTCCAAGGTCCCTTCCAACTTTATTATTATTATTATTATTATTATTATTATTATTATTATTATTATTATTACTACTACTACTACTACTACTATTATTATTATTATTATTATCATCATCATTATCATTATCATTATCATTATCACTACTACTACTACTACTACTACTACTACTACTACTACTACTACTACTACTACTACTAACAATATACAATATATTTCAATTGTGCCCTTATCCCCTCCAAAACAGCACATATTCCTGAGTAGGTTTATTCCCTTTGCCTTCTTCCACCAACCCTGTTTTTTATAAAATCCTCCCATATTTCATTACAATTATTTACTTCAACCATCCCTTTTTTAAATTCAATTTCTGTTCCTAATTTTGCCATTGATCGCCATAATTCCGTGTTTCATTATGCCCCTCGTTTCTTGGAATAACCCAATTCCCTCTCCCATATTTAGCCACCACTAATCTTAGCTGCCATCATCAAATTTGGAATCAATTCCTCTTCGCTTGTGATATTGCACCATAAACCACCATTGTTATTCTCAACAAGGACACAGAGGGGGAAACTGAGGAAGGGGCGAGGGGAGGACTGACCTTCCGCAGTTTTTCCAGCAGGACGGGGATCCCGGCCAAGCGCTTGATGGCTCTCTGGTAGTCCCGGTAACGCAGCACCAGTTGAACCAGATCTTGCTCCTGAGTACTGACCGCCTCCTGCAGCACTGCAAGCCAAGAAGAGAATCAGGTCCTCGTTTCGTGACCGAAGTTACGACAGCGGTGAAAAAAAAGTGACTTACAACAGATCCTCGCCCTTACGACCGTCGCAGCACCCCCACGGCCACGCGATACAAATTTGGGTGCTTGGCCACCAGAATAGGCAGAGAGTCCTCGACTTACGACGGTCTGTTTAGTGACCATTTAGTCCTCAACTTATGACGGTCTATTTAGCGACCGCACTGAAAAACGGTCCTAAGTCAGTTTTTTTCAGCGCCGTTGTAACTTCCAACGGCCACTAAGCAAACTGTTATTAAGTTGACGACTACCTGTACATTACTTATGACCGTTGCAGCGTCCCCATCGTCACGTGATCCAAACTCAAAGACGCTTGCCAACCGACTCGTATTTATGACGGTCGCAGCCTCCCTGGGGTCACGTGATCCCCTTTTGTGACCTTCTGAGCAGTGAAGTTGATGGGGGAAGCTGGATCCACTTAACAACCTCGTTACTCGCTTAACAACTACAGGGATTGACTGAACAAATCTGGGAAGAGAAGTGAACCGTGGCAAAGAAGACGGTAAAACGGGCCAAAATGCACTGAACCAATTTCTCATTTAGCAACATAAATCTGGGGGGTCAGTTGTGGTCGTTAAGTCGAGGACTGCCCTGTATTTACGACGGTTGCAAAGTCCCGGGTCACTCTCTGGGACTTTCCCAGCCAAGCTCCGACAAGCAAAATCAAGGGTAGGGGGGGAAGCCTGACTCGCTTAACAATTGTGTAACTCGCTTAGCCACTGCCGTGATTCGCTTAACGACTGCCTTATTTAGCCATGGAAATTCCGTAGTCGTAAGCCGAGGACTGCCTTAATGAACAAACTGGGTAGCAGGAGCCATTGCAGGATAAAATCCGTGTCTCTTTTTTGCATTGTGTTCTGTGTGCAAGGCATGTTAAAAAAAAGTGTGGTCTTTCAGAGTCACAACTTCCACTTTTTTGCACTTTGTACAAAGTCAAATTCCCAGCCACCTATCCGTCTGTGTGTGTGTGTGTGTCTGTGTCTGTGTGAATTTATTAAAATTCCTTTGAAAATCTTTTTTTTTAAAAACTCATTAAAACGTCTTTGAAAATAACTTTGGAAACGGCCGGCTGAAAATGTTCAGAACCGGAAATCAACGGTCCTTGATCGAAACGGTTAGACGCGGCCGTGAAAAGATTTTCATTTCCTTAAAAAAAAAGACTTTCACTTCGCTTTTTGGCACAGTGATGCGTTGCGGAAGGCAAGGCGGTCAAGAATGGTGGTTCTTCACCTCTGCAACTTCAACTCCCAGAATTCCCCAGCCAGCATGAAGATCACCCATCTTAATGAGTTCTGGCTGGGGAATTCTGGGAACGGAAGTCCACCCCTCTTAAAGCATGCTGGCTGGGGAATTCTGGGAGGGGAAGCTCACCCCTCTTAAAGCAGGCTGGATGGGGAATTCTGGGAGGGGAAGCCCACCCTTCTTAAAGCAGGCTGGATGGGGGATTCTGGGAGTGGAAGCCCACCCCTCTTAAAGCAGGCTGGATGGGGAATTCTGGGAGTGGAAGCCCACCCCTCTTAAAGCAGGCTGGCTGCAGGATTCTGGGAGTGGAAGCCCACCCCTCTTAAAGCAGGCTGGCTGGGGGATTCTGGGAATGAAAGCCTACCCCTCTTAAAGCATCCTGGCTGGGGAATTCTGGGAGTGGAAGCCCACCCCTCTTAAAGCCTGCTGGCTGGGGAATCTTTGGACCCAGGTCGTAATTCCCCCAGGGAGGTTTGACATAACTTGCTACGGTTGTTGAAGTTGAGAACTTCGTGTATGTTCTGGAGCTCTGAAAATCTTGTTCTGCTAAACCAAAGGCGCTGATGCTCAGCTGTGCTTCCCACCTGCCAAGGAGAGAAAAGGCAACACACCTGTCCAGCCGGACCGATTTTCTTTGGCCACGTCTGCCCCGTGCCGCAAGAGAACCCGTGCACACTCCAAGTGGCCCAGGGTGGTGGCCAGGTGCAAGGGAGTTCGGCCTCGGGGGTCCACCTGCTCAACATCCACCTGTCAGGAGAAAAAGGAGGTGTTTTATATTGCCACAATGTAAAAAAGAGGTTGAGACTCTGGAAAGAGTGCAGAGAAGAGCAACAAAGATGATTAGGGGGGACTGGAGGCTAAAGCATATAAGGAACGGTTGCAGGAATTGGGGATGTCTGGTTTAATGAAGAGAAGGACGAGGGGGGACAGGATAGCAGTCTTCCAGTATCTCAGGGGCTGCCACAAAGAAGAGGGAGTCAAGCTGTTCTCCAAGGCGCCTGAAGGCAGGACAAGAAGCAACGGATGGAAACTCATCAAGGAGAGAAGCAACCTAGAACTAAGGAGAAACTTCCTGACAGTGAGAACAATTAACCCGTGGAACTCCTTGCCTCCAGAAGTGGTGAATGCTCCAACACTGGAAGTTTTTAAGAAGAGACCTGACAGCCATTTGTCCGAAATGGTGTAGGGTTTCCTGCCTGAGCAGGGGGTTGGACTAGATGACCTCCAAGGTTCCTTCCAACTCTGTTCTGAGATCCTTACTCAAAATAACGAGAAACGTCCTGACAGTGAGAACGATTAACCAGCGGAACAACTTGCCTTCAGAGGTTGTAGGTGCTCCATCCCTGGAGGTTTTTAAGAAGAGATTGGACAGCCATTTGTCTGGAATTATATAGTGTCTATTGTTTGGAGGTTGGACTAGATGACCTCCAAGGTCCCTTCTAACTGTGTTGTTCTGTTGTCCCGTTGACACTTGGACATGACAGCAAGCACCGTTTCCATCCTTCTGGTTCAGTGGCCAAGGAGACATCCACCCCTCTTAATGCATGGCTGGCTGGGGAATTCTGGGAGTGGAAGCCCGCCCCTCTTAAAGAATTCTGGCTGGGGGATTCTGGGAGTGGAAGTCCACCCCTCTTAAAGCAGGCTGGCTGGGGAATTCTGGGAGTGGAAGTCCTCCCCTCTTAAAGTAGGCTGGATTGGGAATTCTGGGAGTGGATGTCCACCCATCCTAAAGGATGCTGATTGGGGAATTCTGGGAGTGGAAGCCCACCCCTCTTAAAGCAGGCTGGCTGGGGGATTCTGGGAGTGGAAGTCCACCCATCGTAATGTTGCTGAGGCTCAGAAACAGCGATGCTTCACGGGCAGGTGTGGCCAAAATTCTCTTGGGGGGGCTCCCTGCCAAGAGGTGAGAATTATTTCTTCGCCAGCCTTCCCCAGGGGATTCTTACAGTCCTTCCTTCTTCCAGCCCCTGAGAATTAGTTGCAAATAAGAGGAACTAACATTTCTCAGTGCAGCCGGAAAACAAGCAGCAAATGGGGAGGGGGGGCTGGGGGGGGAGGCTCAGCAGAGAAAGATCCACAGAGAGATTAGTAAACACACACACACACACACACATCTCACAACACCAGTGATTTGAATCTGTCTTTGCTCCTCGGAAGCTTATTAAATGACCCTGGGACACCGTCACAAACAGGAGCCAGTTGCCAAGTGCCCAGATTTGGATCACGTGACCAGGGGGAGCCTTCAACGGTCGTTAAGTGTGAAAAACGGTCCTAAAACGGTCGCTTTCTTTCAGGGCAGTGGAACGGTCGCTAAGCGAACTGTCGTAAGACGAGGAATACCCGCATTTTATTCACCGCCTTGGTAGTGTACAGCTTCCCACCCAACAAGGAAATGACAGTTCACACTGTGGTTTTGCAAGCTGCATTGTGGTGCAGAATTTACTTCCGAGTGCAATTCAAGATGGTGGTTTTAAAAGCTTTGAAACCCTGCCTGGCATGGAACCCGGTTACTTGAGGGACTGCCCTTGATTACATTGATTCCTTCCATCAGGTCAGGCAGGAGGGGGGCTCTGAGGGGGGGTCCTGGGTCCAAAGGAGCTCTGTCTGGGGCAGGGAACCCAAGCCACCTGCCTCTCCTGTTGGGAGTCCCCACCTTTTGTGCATCGTTCCATCTAAGGTCCATCTCTGTTCATTTTCAGCAAGTCCCTTAAAATGTAACTTAAAAAAAAAAGTATTTAAGAAAAGACTAGACAGTCACTTGTCTGAAATGGTAGAGGGTCTCCTGCTTGAGTAGGGGGCTGGACTAGAAGACCTCCAAGGTCCCTTCCAGCTCTATTCTATTCTATTCTATTCTATTCTATTCTATTCTATTCTATTCTATTCTATTCTAATTCTTAGTATTCTTATTTTTATTCTTTTATTTTTATTCTTATTCTTATTATTCTATTCACCAGGCTCGTTTATTCCAGGGAGAATCTGCAAAGTAGCTGGATGAGATTATGTGACTGTTTGTTCCCCCCCCCCCCCCGTTCTTGAGTTTGACTGTTCATTTAATCTGTTTACATTAGTCTGTTTGTTTAGTTATTTTGACTGTTTTCAGAGGGTTATGTCTTAACTGCTCTTATGTTGTACATCACCTAGATCAGGGCTTTTCAACCAGTGGTACGGGTACCACCTGTGGTACACGGGCACCTGGCAGGTGGTACGCGACCATCCTAGGAAAGTGGTAGCGGGGGAGGGGAATGAGCTGAACCGGTGGCAGCACCGCACAAGCCTGAGTGAGAGACGGCTGAAGCTGCAGGGCTGTCAGGGCTCAGCGGAAGCGCCAGGATCAGTGCCGCTTTCCAGCTGATCGGCGCTTCTTGGGAACTGTCAGGGCTCAGCGGAAGCCCCAGGATCAGCGCCAGGCTCCAGCTGGAGCTCAGCACTGATCCTGGCACTTCTGCTGAGCCCAGAAGAAGCGCCGATCAGCTGGAATGTTGCAGCCTCTCCAGGGTCTTGTGATGTACATTCAGATGCTTGGCCACTGATTCATATTTATGACGGTCACAGTGTCCCAGGGTCATGTGAAGGGACCCAAACCTGCTGCAACCACCCAGCAGACGGGGGGGGGGGGGAATAAAAACCAAACACCCCCCCCCACCCCCGCTGCCAATCCTCAACAGAAATGCTCACAACAATGAAAACCTCGGACAGGAGGAAGAGCGCCACTGGGTGGGCAGGCAGGTGACTTGCTTGGCTGTGGCTTGGGGGGGCACTTTTTTCAGTGCCATTGTAACTTCTAAGAGTCACTGAGCGAACTGTTGTAAGTCGAGGACTACCTGTACTTCATCACTTTTTTCCTCTTTTTTTGGTCAAGTTTTTGACCCCTTGCTAGGCGACTGGTGGTACTCGGATGTTGCCATATCCTAAAAGTGGTACAATGGGTGAAAAAGTTGAAAAGCCCTGGTCTAGATCACGCAACTGGGATCTCTTAGTGGTCTCCCATCCACTCTAAGCATTAAAAACGGTCCAAAGCCACTGAATCTTTTGAGGTTAGCCAAGATCTCCATATTGGGTGATAGAAGCAAGATGTGCTGGTACCTTCTTGCCTGGCTATGGAATCTGGCAGTGGTCATTGTTAGACTCCAAGTCCCATGTGGCTTCTCCTGATTGCACAATTCTGAGAACATGAACCCAAAATACAAAAGCAGCATAGGAGATGGATAAGTGCCTACAAAAAATATCCCTCAGAAACATGGGTCTGAGAAGGAAGGAAGGAAGGAAGGAAGGAAGGAAGGAAGGAAGGAAGGAAGGAAGGAAGGAAGGAAGGAAGGAAGGAAGGAAGGAAGGAAAAGGGAAGGGGGAATGGGGGGAAGGGAGGAAGGAAGGAAGAAAGAAGGAGGGAGGGGAAGGAAGGAAGGAAGGAAGGAAGAAGGAGGGAGGGGAAGGAAGGAAGGAAAAGGGAAGTGGGGAAGGGTGGGTGGAAGGGAGGAAGGAAGAAAGAAGGAGGAAGGGGGAAGGAAGGAAGGGAGGGAGGAAGGAAGGAAGGAAAAGGGAAGTGGGGAAGGGTGGAAGGAAGGAGGGAAGGAGAAAGAGGAGAAGGGTGGGGAGGAGGAGGAAAGGAAGGAAGGAGGGAAGGAAGGAAGGAAGGAAAAGAGAAGTAGGAAAGGGTGGGTGGGTGGAAAGGAGGGGGAAGGGGGGAAAGAAAGGAGGAAGGAAGGAAGAAGGAAGGAAGGAAAGGGAAAGTGGGGAAGGGAGGAGGGGGAAAGAAAAGAGGAAGGAAGGAAGGAAGGAAGGAAGGAAGGAAGGAGAAAGAAAAAGAAAGAAAGAGAGAGAAAGGAAAGAAAGAGAAAGAATGAAAGAAAGAAAGAAAGAAAGAAAGAAAGAAAGAAAGAAAGAAAGAAAGAAAGAAAAAGAAAGAGGGCAGTCAAACTCTAAATATTTACAGCCGCCCGCACCTTCAACCCCTTTGCTATCACCTGGGCCACCCTCCCTTCTTTTTCAACCTTTGTTGTTGTGGTGCTTGCTGTCCTTCTTAACACCATCGTGACAAAACAGCTCCACACAGCCTCACAACGCTCTGACGCCATTTCTGCACTTCAGGCACCCTTCTCGTGATTGTGACTTTCTCCCAAAACGCCAAAAAAGAGGGGCGCCTCTCCCCCCACCCCACCCCACCCCACCAGCCAAGACGGCCTGGACTTCCCCCCCATGGCAAATGTGACCCGTGTGAACCCAGGATCTTCCGTGTTGACCCACAACCGCCCAGCCAAGCCGCAGCGGGCGTGGCGTATCCTCATACAACACGGATAAAGAAAACACACACACGACAAGAAGCAGAGACAAACAGGAAGCGGCCAGGCGTCTCGCAAACAACGGGCTGGGGTTTCGTTCCCCGGGTGACCCCAGGCCCTGAATCTGGCATTGTGGGAAAAGGGATCCCAAGAGATCAACCAGGAAGCCTGCATTTTCTGGGGAATCTGTTTTCCCCTCCCAGCAGCGGCAGGAGCCCAGGGAAACGACGATTGTGTTAATTGTCTTATGGGAAGTCTGCCCCAGCCTCCCTGCAGGTCATGGGGAGCAGCGACCAGGACTGGAACTCAGCTCCAGTCAACAAGGAATCGCGCTGCTGCTAGTCCTCTTGATCTAACACCTACCTTTTGCGATTCGCACACAGGCAATCCTTAGACTTCCGACTATAACGGGCCCGGGAATTTCCATGCACAATTTTAGGACCTTTTTCGCCCTGATTAGGAAGT